TTGGTTGAGGGGTTTCAAAAACTAGTGAACTACAACAATAAAAACTCTTGTTTATATTATTTTAATTCATTGAATTTTAGGCTGACTACACAGCTGTTTCGAATATTGTCAAAAACCCATCAACACTGGTCTTAGAATTAGTTCTTATATTAAATTATTCGTAAATAATTTTTTTTTGTTTTAGAGACTACAAGTACCAAGGGTTGAACTCCTGCCCTGCCAAATTTAAAGTTCAGAGTCAGTGTTCATTACCCAACTGACTCAAAATCGTACTTGACTTCGAAATTAAAGATTTTTGTTAATATGCTGTAAAAGTACATTAAGAAATTTATTTGCTGTAGTATGTTAGAACGGAATAAATCAGCTATTGAAGAATTGAATTAATTAATTGCATTTTTTTAATCGTTAAATTTTGATACTTTAATTAACTTTAAATTAAGAAACTTTAAATTAATTTTAAATTAAAAGGCATTATTTATTGTATTTATATATTTATTTAATTTATATAATTAAAAGTTAATAGCCTTTAAATAAGCCATTGAGGAAAAATAAAAAAAAAAATTTTAAATAATAAATGTGATGATAGAGACTAGAAAATATGGCAATGAATAAACTATGTGCTTCGTTACAAAGACTTCAGTACTTGACAGTTAATTTTAAAGTTCACTGATTTTAAATCATAGATGCAATCGCATACAAACCTTATATTAAATGGACTTAAGCAAAATAATGTAGAAAGTGTTATCTGTTGGTACGGTTAAGAAATGCTAAAGTAGACGTCTTGTGCACTAAGGCTCTTAATTAAAAATAATGGATGAGGTAACATCCACGTAACGTATAGACGCCAGTTCAGAAGAACCACCCTGAAGGTAGCAGTTCGAAACCCCAAGCGTACGCACGGCATCTCTTTAAGAAGGTATGACGTTCCTTTTCAAATAGAAGGACATTAATCTGATAAGTCTAAATCATAAGTTTTATAAAAATAGTATGTATTAAAGCATTTAGTAAATATTAATATTTTCATAAGCATTTTCATTAGAAAATGTACAGACACTTAAATAGTTAAATATAATTTTAGTAAAGAGCACAAAATAATTTATTTTTATAACCTTTGAACGTAATATTTCAAAATTTTTGGCATAAAGCAAAATTAATCCTAATAGCATTAAATCAAGAATAAAAAAGGAAAGCTAACTAATATTTATATAGTCATTTTCACCAATTTTGATTATGTAGAACAAATATATTAATATGTAAGCCAGTGCAAATATTTAATTAAGAAGAGCTTAGTTATTTTACCGTAGGTTGCTGCTTTCATTTCAAAGGAAACGCCAAGAGTTATTACGGGCAGTTCACTTTGCTATTTAAGAGA